ATATATATATATATATATATATATATATATATATGTATATTTGAAACTATCTTTTCTATTATATCCAGGATTTTCACCAAGAAGAAACATTCTAAGACTTCTGAATTAAAGCTAACATATCCACCTTCATTCAACTCACTAAGACAGGTTTATATTGTATATGTATATATATATATATATACACAATACTTTTCAGAGTGTTACCCTATTATGTTGATGATTAAGCTCAAGGAAGAGTCCATCCCTGCCCAGACATGCTACACGTCAGTATATAAAGTTAACAGCGTTCTCAGTCCACTCTCTCCCACGCCACAGCTTTCCAAGTGCTTTCAACCTTTCACCTTTAATCCCAACTTTAGTAATAAACAATTAAAATAAGTTTAGTCACAGAATACCCAAGTTTTATTTGGTCACAACATGTTTCTAATACTAAGACCTTTAACAAAGCCCGACTTCATTCTAAGGGATCTGCAATTACTAAATTCCAACTCAGCACTTTGAGACAGAGTCACACTATGTACACCAGGCTGGACTCAAACTCATAATCCTCCTGCCTCCACCTCCCAAGTGCTAGAATTACTGTTTTTCCCTCTTACACCTGCTAAGCACTTTTATCTTAGTGGAATAAGAAGGATGAGTGGAAGAAGAATGTGAGTAAGAGAGAGAGAGAAAGAAAAGAGAGACCAGAAATAAATTATACTGTTGAAGAAAAACTATAATTTCTTAATAGAGGGCATGGTGGTCAAAGCCAAAAATCAAATGATCAGGTATCTATAAACTGCCTTTATAAACTACCTTTCAAAACTGTAAACTACCTGTCTTCCTTACATACTCAGTGCAGATTCTTAGTTAGGGCCAACAAGGATTTGGGATCTTCTGATTACCATTTGTTCTTTCTGGGCCTTAATGGGAGATTTTAGAGGTTGTCCACATGTCAAAGGGATTTGAAGTGAGTTAGGAGAGAGGTACAACATACCTAACGGATTTAGGGGAAATGTTGCATATATCATGAACAGAGGAAGTGGGAAACACTGACAAGGAAGGAAGGATAGCTGAGTTTAAAAAGAAAAAGGCTATGAAGAGGAAAATAGAGATGGTTAGTTTATCCCCACTGAGCTGAGGGCCAGGTCCTTATACAACATAGCATCTCAGGGTATGTCACGTTGCAAATCAGTTGTTCATGAGGTCTGTGGACTGTCACATTCAAAGCCTGAAGGGATTAAGACTCTTAGATAACAGGTTACAAAATCTTTTCTAAATAGATTAAGCAAAGTAAGTGATATGGAGAGGCTTGCATTAACTGATAGTTTAAAATAGCATTGTGTTTCATTTCTTCATCTTTTCTTCAGCACTTTGTCAGTGCTGTTTTTTGTGAGTTCTGCCAATAGATTGGAGCTCTGCTACAGAACGTAAGTCCCTCAACATTATCTCATTAGTCTGCTCGGACCATATGCCAGTCGTAAGCCAAGCGTTGTTCCTAGAGCACAATTGCATTGAATTGGTCCTACTACCTCATTTGAGCTTTTATAGAGATGGCATGACAGCCTATTGTAGCCAGAAAGATGACTTTGATCATGACCAATGTCAAATTGTAACTCTCTTCTTGAACCCTTATTTTTGAAAGTTTTCATCTTATTTAGAGCAAAAGTCACAATGCCGTCGTGACCTATAAGGGCATTGCTAACTTTCTGATCTTATCTCAAGATACTCTTTTCACTCAGCCTGCCTCAACTGCTGTGGCTTCCTAGATGTTCCATGAAATAGACAGCTTCCAACACAGAGCCTTCTGAATTTCTCTTCCTTCTGTCAGGAACAACCTTCCCCTCACTTATTCAAAGAGTTCATTGTTTGGTGTCCCTAAAGTATTAGTGAGGCTTAGTAAAACTCTCCCTGTGCACCTACTGTCTTCATTCTTGGTTTTAGTTATCCTCATGACACATATCATAATCAGACAGATTATATATTTTCTTTATTTACTTAAATTGTGTATCTGTGTCATTTTAATGCCAACTAGAATGTAAGCTTTTGAAAGGTTAGCAAGCACTTGGTCAATAGCAAATATAAAGTGGATATTCAATTAACTATTTGGTAAAAGGGTAAATTAATGAATGAGTTAATCAATAAACATAAATCTTTGAGTGAGAAAGGTGTAAAATTCAACTAAAAGAGAAATTACACATGTCACATCAAGAATGAATGTATTCTATTGTTAATTTCCCTATTTCTATCAGGAACTGTTTAGAAGCCTATTTTAGTGGATGCCAATTGGAACATCTCTTTCCTTCATCAACCAGAAAACTACATCGCAGCAGTTTGTCACATGGCTTATCATGTAATCTGGATTTCTAGTTTCTGCTACACAGGAAAAATGGGAAAAACAGGAATACTTGTTACTGAGAATATTTAGTTGAACTTATACATGTTACAGCAGTTCAGCAAAATAATTATTAATCAAATATTTATACCCATTGTTCATATTTGCATAGTTAAAAATATATTCTAGCTATAATTAGCCTTTTTCAGGAGCTCCAAGAGCAAAAGTAGTAATACTTGTTTTTGGTTTTTTCCTTGTCTTAGGGGATCATGGACATAGAAGCATATTTTGAAAGAATTGGTTATAAGAATTCTAGGAACAAATTGGACCTGGAAACATTAACCAACATTCTTCAGCATCAGATCCGAGCTGTTCCCTTTGAGAACCTGAACATCCATTGTGGTGAATCCATAGATATGGGCTTGGAGGCCACTTTTGATCAAGTTGTTAAGAGAAGGCGGGGTGGGTGATGTCTCCAGGTTAATCACCTCTCAACTGGGCTCTGACCACAATGGGTTTTGAGACCACAATGTTGGGGGGATATGTTTACATCCCTCCAGCCAGAAAATACAGCAGTGACATGATTCACCTACTATTGCAGGTAACAATTGGTGGCAGGAACTACATTGTGGATGCAGGGTATGGAGGCTCCTACCAGATGTGGGAGCCTCTGGAATTGATTTCTGGGAAGAATCAGCCTCAGGTACCTTCCATCTTCCGATTGACAGAAGAGAAAGGAATCTGGTACCTGGACCAAATCAGAAGAGAGCAGTACATTCCAAACGAGGAATTTTCTAATTCTGACTTTCTGGAGAAGAGTAAATACCGAAAAATCTACTGCTTTACTCTTCAATCTCAAGCAATTGAAGATTTTGAATTTGTGAATACATACCTTCAGACATCCCCAACATCTGGGTTTACAAATATATCTTATTGTTCCTTGCAGACCCCAGAAGGGGTTTACTGTTTAGTGGGCTCCACCCTTGCCTATAGGCAATTCAGTTATAAGGACAATGTAGATCTGGTAGAGGTTAACACTCTGAGTGAGGAAGAAATAGAAGAAGTACTGAAAACTATATTTAATATTTCCTTGGAAATAAAATATATTCCCAAGCATGGTGACAAATCCTTTACTATTTAGGATAAGGAGCACAATTGCTCTTCAAAATGTTGCTACATGTAGTTAACTTTTTATTATAAATAGTTTTAAATATATGTAAAACATGGCTAATAGATTAATAAACCCTCATGTAATCATCATCCAGCCTACCAATGATCAACTGATGATTTACCATATTCTTTATACCTCCACATTTTATGAAGAAAAATCCTAAATAACATATCACTTCACCCATCACAATGTCAGCACATACATCTAAATGACTTTTTAAAGAAACGTAACCAAAAACCTTTTCAAAATTAATCACTAGGTATTTTTATGATGTGGTTATCTTGAGTGCCATACTGATTTGTGATAGAAAAGTTTCCCACATTGGTTAATTGTTGAATTCACATAAAATTTATATTAGTAATTGAGTAAGGAGAATGATGATAAATTTTTTTCCTATTAAATTCAACCAGAATATGTCTTATGTCCAAATTTTACAAAATACCCTCCTTACAAGTCAGGATGGAAATGCAACAAAGAACAATCAGATATGATATTGATTCTAAATAATCTAATACTTCTCAATACACATTGATACAAATAAACCAACAGATAGGTGATTAGGTGCCAAGACAGTGACACAGGTGATCATTTCTTTATGGCTCTTTTTTATAGCTATTTGTCTTTTTGTGTATCATTTTCTAAGACTGATATTTGGAATTTTTAACTTTCAGAATTAAATGATTTATATCTAAACCTATTGATTTTTATAACTCATAAAATAAATGTTACCTGGAAAAACTTTCTGTCCATGATGTATATTAAAACAATTTTTGCTTATATGCTGTGGAAGTTTTAAGATGTTCTGTGAGTTGGTGTCTTCTGCCAGGGTGTCTTCCTTTCTTCTATTTCTTATCCCCTCTATGCTATGATTTTACTTCCTTCTACACATGGACTTTAAAAAATGATGATGTTTATATATCTTTGAGTTCAAATCCTGTGAATACTGGTTTGAATTATTGGATAAACCTATGGCTCTGATTCATCAAAGTAAAATGAGTTTTATACCTGTATATATATTCTGTACAAGGCATATAGAATAAAGACCCAAAAACTAGAGCTGGAGATCACATTCAGTGTTAGAGTGCTTGCTAAACATGCACGAGGTCCTGGATTTAATTTCCAACAGCAGACACACACACACACACACACACACACACACATACATTTTATTCCATGGATGAATAAATAATGTTGGTAATTATTCCTCAGTATTTTTTTTTTTTTGGTGATACTGGGGTTTAAATTCAGGGCTTCATACTTGCCAGGCAAGTGCATTACCACTTAAACCATGTCTGCAGCCCTTTTTGCTTTAGTTATTTTTCAGATAGGGTCTCCCATTTTTGCCCAAGCCAGACTCAGACTCAAATTCTCCTACCTCAACCTCCTGTGTACCTTGGATAACGGATGTGCACCACTATATGACTCAACTTGATGTTTGAGATAGGGTCTCACTAATTTTTGCCCAGACTGTGATTATCTTTCCCTGCCAAGTACCTAGGATTACAGGAATGAGTGACCATGCCTAACCTTTTAGGTTAGCATTCAATGAAGGTTCTTTTTCTACCATACTGCATTTAATTTCTGCTTGAAAGTCTGCTCATCTGCCTACTTTGTGCATCATGAAATATTAATTGACATCAAATGCAGAATATGTATTCTGCTTCATAATATGAATCTCATCTACAACTCATATTTTGTGATTATCCTCCACCTTCAACTCGTGATTATAATAAGGTAAAGAGAAATATAGGGACTGGAATACTAGTTAAGAAAATGGGTTATGTTGCTGCATATGTACTTTATTTAACAATATAATAGGAAAGTCTGGTATAGTTGACTCTTCTAGATACATGTGGATAAAAGATCAGGCCTCAGTAGAAAGGAAGGACAAAAGACAAGCAACTTGAGAATCAAAGGGTGCATGAAAAGTGACTGTGGACGAAAAAGTCACAGTCACTTTGGACAATGCCAGAAGATGCTCAGAGAAACCTCAATGGAGCAGACAGAAAATGAGGACATATATCCTACAACTCTTATCATCTCTAGCTGGGTCCCTGTCCCAAGGGCATTTGTGGGTCTTTTCCACCACCACTCTGTACCACTCTTCAGGTATAGAGTCCCAAGGTAAATAGTAAGAAACCAGAGGAATGCACTAACACGAGGCATCAATCTTGTCAAAAAGACAGTTTTTAAAATGTAAGGCAGAGGAAAACATCTAAGAAACTATCAGAAATACAACCACATGACACGTCATGTTCGTAATGCATACATAAACACATTTCAGACTCATTACACAGTGCCTTTGAGTAGAGAAGGAAAAGGGAGTGAGAATGACACAACAAAAAGCAAGCAAGTTAAAAACAGACAGGAATTGGTGGACAGCGTGTTTCCTAAACTGGGAGTGTGAATAAAACATTCCAACCCCTCTACCTCCTCTAGTTACTGGATCTGCTTTTCCTACATCCCTTTCCGAGCTCCGACCTTCTACATCACACATGGCAAGTCTGGCTTCAGACTCCCAAAGAGCAAGACCATGTGAAATTCAAAGCCTAAGGCATAAGAATTGCCAGATAATATAAATCTCAGCAGAGATTTTAATGAAAGGATTTGAATAAGAGAAGCATGAAGGCAAGGTGTGATCCTGCAACTGCATTTCCCAGAGGTACTTGGGATGGTTCCAGTCAGAAAGGAAGGCCAGGTGGAGGAATTTAGAAGGCCAATGAAAACATGTCTTCTGCAGATACTGGAAGGAGAAGAGCATTCAGCTGGCTTGCTGTTAGCCAGCCCTACTGATCTGGCAAGTGGACCTTCCTGACTGACTTGAAGTGAGTCCACTTTGAAGTTGGGATTTCACCCTATCCCAAAAGGAAGTTCAAAAGACTACTTTCTACCCCAGGTCCTAATTTCTAGTTTTAAGGTTGTTAGAAACTTTGGGTGACACATAGTTGGAACAATCTGCTGTAAATACTTTTCAGCATACTGGTGAGTACTAGTAGCTATGAGATGCTTGATTCAAACTGTTTGCTGGACAGTCACAATCATATCACATTCTGTCAACGAGAACTTCAACAAGTCACTTATCCTCAGTAAAACAGTTGTCAATCAGTACAATGTGAGCTAATAAATAATGATGCTTGTGATGATTAAGTAGGCATATTAACAACTATGTTTAAGGGAAATCCTCAACTGGATTTTCCCATTGGATACTTTTAACAATCTACCCACTGCAATGTGCAGCAATTTCTGGAGAAAGTTGGAAGGAAACAGTGGGGAAGGTCTTCAGGAGCTTTCACTGACAAAAAGTAAATAAATAAATACGTAAATAATAAATGCCACTGTCGCTCAGACAAGAGCAGCACTCAAGAATACAGAGTAGAGAATTCCATGCAAATGAGGCACCAACCCTGGCAAAGAGCCCAAGATCTAGGGTCTATAGCCTCTCTGCTTTGGACTCTGCTCTAGGCTCTGGGCAGGCCGCCAACAACAGCACACTGCTTGGCTGTATTCTGTTAAACTGTTCTTTTCCTTCCCTACTTGCCTCTTACTGCATCAGGCTTAAAACAGCTGACTCCACCCTGTCCCCTAACTTTGTAGCTATTTTCTTCCCTTCCCAGAGGCTTATTTTGTTTGGCCTTCACCATCTTCATCTGTAACTGATATTTTCCATCAGAGTTACTTTCTTGGCTACAGTGAGTACTCCCTATGTTTGTCTGGCTCTGGAGACCTTCACGGAAAGGCCTGGCTGGTGTGGATCACCTGTAAGCAGAGGATCATGGAGTAATGGTCTTTGGGTATAGCCAGCCCAGCAAGTGTTTTCCTTCCTGATAGTGAAAGGGCTGACTTGGTAGGGTGTAAGGGTGTCAATGCAGTGGGATGCTACTCACTGCTTGAGGCAGAAATGAAAGAAAAGGGACAGAAAAAGAAACAACACACATGCAGAAACAAAAGTGACTCCTTAGCTCTCCTTCTAATTCTTCAGTATTAGTAGAAATCCTTGCAGTAGTGTAAAAGATTCCACCATAGTCGTCCCTGATGTGTTCTGTTTCTAGGACGGTCTCCCTCTGGATCCACAGGCTTTTATTTCTTTTGGGTTGGGCTCTTCCTCACAACTCCATTAGAGGAAAAAATGAGGTGTTTGTTTGCTTATTTGATTGTTTATTGTTTTTAACAGGGTCTACTCATATAGCCAAGACTGGTCTCAAACTCATGATTCTACTGCCTCAGTCTCCAAGTGTTGGGTTACAGGCTTTCACTCCACATACACCTTTGTAATGGTTACCTTTGCCAAAAAATCTGAATATCACTATTGTACATGAAAGGTACAGAGGTGCAAAAGACTGGGGATTAAGCAATGAACATATCAACCTACTCTTCTGGGACCATGCAAAAATGGTGCATGCCACTTAGGATGAATTGATACAACTATTAAATATTGACAGTTCACAAAACAACAAATATTGGTGTTCTACAGAGAACAGCAAAACTTTTAGTTGGTACTCAAGGCCCTCTGGAAGTCACCTCATTTTGTGTATCTTAACTTCCTTATACACAGCTCTCCAAAATGAACTTCAAGGTGACCAAAGTCAAGTTCCCCAAACCACTGAGTCAAGCTTCCATGTAAGTGACTTAAGGAAGTGCAGAGGAAACACAGCCCTCACTGGATATAATTTTTATTCAGAATTTGTCTAGACTCAAAGTAAAAGCAGCCACCCTCTCAAGATCTTCTACCACCAAGTCATTGACCCAGGGTTGCTCTAAGGGAAACTCCAGCAGTCTTCAGGGAGTCCTCTAAAGAAAATCTGAAGTGAAGGGCCTTGAATATCAGCTCTAAGGTCAGCCCCAGACACAGTGAAATGATCAATAAAATCTACTGGTCTTGGTGACTTACAGACAGTATCCTCACAAGTTACAGTCTTGAATCCTAGTGAACACCATGTGCCCTCTCTAGGTGCACTAAGCATGGCTCTATGGTTTATACTTCTGTGCCTACAGTAGACAAATGGCACCAATGGCTTCATGTGGAACATTTTTTAAATGTATGTTTGGTTACTTTAGCTAGAGAAGCACTTTCCAATTCCCTCAGGTTCTACCCTTCCCTATCTCATTACACCTAGATCTTTCCTGCCTGATATTTCAATAATTTAACTAGAATAGGTTCTTTTTATGTTTGGATATGACTTATCTCTTCCCACCCCAAAAGACTCATATGTTGAAGGCATGGTTCCCACCTAGTGCCACTATTTAGCAGTTATTCGATTATGAGGGCTCTAATCTGCTCATTCAGCCCATTGCTGAATGGGCTAGTAGGAGGTGGTCCTAGTTGGAGGAAGTAGGTCACTGGGGGATGCCTCTGAAGAGTGTATCTTGTCCTTAGCCCATTCCTCTCTGCCTCTGTTTTTTGGCATCCATTAGGTGAGCAGTTTTGCTCTGCCTTGTCCTCTTGCAGCCATGATATTTTGTATCATCACAGGCCAACTGCAATGTAGCCAGCCAAGAATGAGAACTCCGAACTATGAACCCAAATAAATGTTTCCTCTTTGAAGTTCATTTGCTCAGATATGCTGTCAGAGCAATCATAGGTTACTAACAGTTACAGAACTTAGCCATTAGGTCGAACAGCTTCAGAGCTTGATGTTCCCAAGGCAAACAGGAAAAAGAAATCAGAACTTTTACCAATCAGAAGCTGCTGACCAACCTGTAACTAAGGAATTTCCATGTTAACTAATTAAGTATATTTTCTTTGCGTTGTTTCTGAGAGCAGCTTGTTTCTGGGAATTCCTTGGGGTTAGTCCGAAGTAATTCAGGAATTATCTGCTCAGATGAGCTCTTCAAAATTTGAATGTCCCTAAGTTTACCTTTTAATGATCCAATATTGACTATACTGAATCAGATCTTCCTAGTTCTGGTCTTTTGCGATATTCAGATTTAATTTTTGACTTATTTCTATTTTGGATAAGACAAAATAGCTTGGTAGGAAGCCTTAATGCTCATCCACATTCTAGACTTTGTTCTGTTGATATTGAAAGGAGCCAATCTCACAGCAATCCTTCATTATGACCTCTCTATTTCTTATTTGCTTTTGATGTATTTCTTCACTGGCCTTTAAAGAGAAAACACTTCATCAGGACAGCTCAGAGTTGTTGCATTTCTCAAGTTCTTTCATGTTTGAGATTGTCTTTGTCACCACTGGATTCAATGAAATACTAATAGAAAAATAATATTTGGCGATAATACGCTCCTTTGATACTTTGTAGACACAGCTCCATCACTTTAACTTTGGATAGATCTGTGGAACATTCTATTGCCAAACTATTTTCTTCCTTATGAGGCCTGCCAGATCCTTTAGTAGATCTATTTGAGATTTTAATAATTTAACAAGAATATTTTCCCAGAATTTTGTCTCTTATTTTTCAGATTTGATTTCTGCTTCTGGATCTTGTATTTCACTGGTCTCCATGCTGGTTGAGTTACCATGGCTCTGTAACCTAATTTGAAATCAGAGTTGTTTTATAGCCATGGGTCTTTTTTGTACACCATTTTTCTTAATATGGGAAAACTGACATTTAAATTTTCAACTTCTAGGATTGAAAAGTTTTATCTAAATCTAATGCTAATTACAAATTATAAAATATACATCTCCTGGAAAAACTTATTATTTCTAAAGTATATTAAAATATTTTTGCTAAGATAATGTGAATTAACATTTTTGTTGGAAATTTTAGGATATTGAGTGGTTTGGTGTCTTCTGCCAGGGAATCTTCCTTTCACCTATTTCTTTTCTCCCAGTCATATTGTTTTAATTCCCTCCACACTTTGGCTTAAAAGGAAAAAAAAATACATTCTTCATGTAAGTTCAAGTATTGTGAATAATGGGTGATAAACCTGTGAATCTGAGTCACCAAGGTGAAATGGGGTTTATACCTATATAATCAGTGACTGAAAGAGAGTACAAACCACAAAAATAGGGCTGGGGGTAGCTCAGTGTTAGAGTACTTACCCAGAATGCATGAGGTCCTGGGTTTGATTTCTAGCATCAAATTTTTTTGTTGTTGTTCCATGGATGAATAAATAAAGTCAGAACTTATTTCTAGGCCAGACTTTAATCAGTATTCTACTTCCATCTTGATTTATTTCACTCCCTCTTGAGTCTTGCTTTCATTCTCACTAATATACCAATGTCACTGAAGTAAAACAAAACACAATCAGAAATACAGCCATATAATACATGTCATGTCCACAATGCATGCATGGACGTATTTCAGACACATTATATTTTGCCTTTGAATAAAGAGGTAAAAAATAGTCTGAATAAAACAAGAAAACGAAAACACAGAGGAACTGATAGAGTGTTTTTCGTAAACTGGGAATGTGAATAAAATACTCCAATTCTTTCTACCTCCTCTAGTTACTGAATCTGCTATCCAAACTTTGACCTTCCACATCACATATGGCAATTCTGGTCTCAGTCTCTCAGAGAGCAAGATCTATGTGAAATGCAAAAGCTCCTCACAGCCTCAGGCATGAAAATCACTAATAATATCAATCTCAACACCTTTTCAATGAAAGGAACTGAGTAAGAGATGAGCAAGGGAAAGTTGAGGCCCTGTAACTACATTTCCCAGAGATTACAGGGAGGATTCTCACCAGACTGGAGAGGCGGGGCAACCTGGAAGGCCAATGAGAGCACTTCCTGTGAGACTTTGGGAGGAGAAAACAGCTTTCAGTCTAGTTCCTGGTTGAAGCCCTGGGAACCTGTCAGAGGGAGCTTCCTGACTGATTTATCCCATCTCTAAGGGAATCCAGGAACTACATTCTACCCCAGCCCTGAGTTTTAAGTCTAATGTTGCTCAGAAAGTTTGAGTGACATTTATTTGGACCCTACTGCTGTAAATACTTTGCTGCATACTGGTGAGTACATCAATGCTTGATTCAAATTCTCTGGGGGATGGTCCCAGCCACATCCCATTCTGTTAGTGAGAACCTGAACAAGTCATTGAGCCTCTGTAAAATTCTGTTTCCTATCAGTAAAATGGGAGCTAACAATGGTGCCTACTTAAATAATGGTGCTTGTGATGATTCAGTAGGTATTTTAACAGCTGTGCTTACAGGAAATTCTCAACTGGATTTCCTTCTTGTATACTTTTAACAATATCCCCACAGCAATAAGCAGGAATTTCTGGGGAAATCTTAATCATGTTGGAAGAAAATGTAGTGGGGAAGGTCTCCAGGAGCTGTCAATGACAAAAAAAAAAAAAATATCACCTGCTTCACTGTCACTTGGACTAGGGCAGCACCCTTAAGCACAGTGCAGAATTCCATAGGAAAGAGAAGCTGGCCTCCACAAAAAGCCCCAGGAGCTAGGGCTCGAGGACTCTCTGCTTTGGACTCTGCTGTGGGCTCTGGGCAGGACGTCCCCAACAGTACACTGCTGTAGCTGATAAACTGCTCTTTCACTTTCCTAGGCCCCTCCTTTTACTGCTTCAGGCTCAAAACAACTGACTCCACCCTGTCTCTCAAAAGGAACATTGAAACCGGCAGCTTTCTCGCTACTTCCTTCCTAGAGGTTTATTTTGTTTGGCCTTCACCATCTTTGCCTGCAGCTGCTATTTTCCTTTAGAGTTGCTTTCCTGGCTACACTGAGAACCCCATATGTCTGCCTGACTGTGGAGACCTTCACTGGAAGGCCTGGCTGGTGTGAGTCCCCTGTCCACTGAGGGCTGTGGAGTAATGATCTTTAGATGTGGCTAGCCCAGCAAGTGTTTTCCTTCCTGATAGTTAAAGGGAGCTGACTTGGTAAGGGGTGGGTTGTCAATGCAGTGTGGTGCTAAGCACTTCATGAGGCAGGAATGAAAGAAAGAGAAGACAAGAGGTAGGTAAAGAAACACGCCATACACGCGGAAATAAAACCTCTCCTTATAACTCTTCTGTTCAGCATTGCCAGAAGTCCATTCAGTAGGTATAGAAGATTCCACCACCTTCCCTAGCTGATGTGTTCTGCTTCTCGCCTGAAGGTAGGTATGACAGCAGCTTATCATAGATGTGTCCCTCTGGATCCATCAGCTTTTATTTCTTTTGAGTAAGGCTTCTATTCACAATTCCATTGGAGAAAAGAATAAGGATTTCTTTTCTTTCTTTCTTTTTTATTTTGTCCAGTCCTGGGAGTTTTGAAATTAGGGATTTGCTATTTCTAGTATTCCACCAGCCCAAGTCCTTTTTAATTTAATTATTTTTCAGATAGGTTTTCACCCTTTTTTCCTTGTCCTAGACTTGGACAAGGATTCTCCTACCTATTCCCTCTGCATAGATGGAATTACCAGAATGGGCCACTAGGCCTGGCTTATTCTTTAAGAGTGTCTCTCTAACTTTTTTGCACAGGTTGGCCAAAAAGCTTGACCCATCTTCCCAAGGAGCTGAGATTATAAGAGTAAGCCACCAAAGTGATGAATCCATAATTTTTTTTCTTTTTTCTTTTTTGAAACAGGGTCTCCTTGTGTAACCCAAGCTAACCTCGAGCTCAGAATTTCTTGCTTCAGCCTCTAGAGTGTTAGGATTATAGTCTTATACCACTCTGCTTGGTTTAGTAAGGGTTACTTTGGGTAAAAAAGAAAAGTGAACCACTATTCATAAAAGATACTGAAGCTGTGCAAATCCACCTACTGTTCAGGGAACTATGCAAAAATGGTGGTTTGTGATTGAAGTGCCATGTCACTTAGGGATAAATTGCAACAGTTGATCCAACTATTGCAAATTCACCATTTGTCAAAAAGACAAATATTCCTATGATCTTCAGAAAAAAAAGCAAGATTTTATGTCCTACTCAAGGCCCTCTAGAAGTCGCCTCATTTTGAATATCTTAACTTTCTTATACACAGCTGCCCCAAACAAACTTCAAGATGACCTAAGTCAGGATTCCCCAAACCACTGAGTCAACCATCCATATACAAGTGACTTAAGGAAGTGCAAAGGAAAACCAGCTCCCACTGGAGGTAATTTTAATTCAAAAATTTGTCCATACTCAAAGAGAGGCAGCTGCACTTTCAAGACCTCATACCCGTAAGTTACTGACTTCTGAACTACACTAGCAACACGTCAATCCCTTAGCACCTCTGTCTCTCAGCAAGAGAAGGCAGGGCCACTACAGCATCTCTCAGTGAGACCTCCAAAGAGAATCTAGGGTGCAGGGCCTTAGTTAATAGGACCCAAAGCATGCCACAGGCATGGTGAAATGGTCAATGAAATGTACAGGTCTAGGTAACTTCTAGACAGTATCCTCACTGGCTAACTTAAGACTTGAATCCCACACAACCCCATGTGTCCTCTCAAAACATACTAGGCATGCTCTGTCTTTACCCTCTGTGCCTGTGTTGGACACACATAGATCCAATGGATTTCATATTGGCCATTGTGCATTTTGTACAAATGTGTGTTGGTTATATTAGATGGGAAATGCACTGTCCAATTCCCTCAGGCTCCATATTTCATTATACCTAGATCTTTCCTGCTTAACATTTCAATAATATAACTAGAATGCATTTTTCTTACTGTTTACATACAAAGTATCACCCCCCCCAATATGGCTCATGTGTTAAAGGCATGGACCCCAGTTGTTGGCTCCACTGAGACCAACAACCATGAGGGAGGTCGTAACTATCAGGAGGTGAGTCCTAATTGGAGGAAATAGGTCACTGGGGGCATTCTTTAAAGAGTATATCTTATCCCTGGCCCCATCCTCCTGTCTGTGTTTCTTGCCATCCATTGAGGTGAGCAGCTTTGCTCTGCCATTCTCTTCTGCTGCCATGATGTCCTGCCTCACCACAGGCCCATAGCAATGAAGCTGGAACTGAAACCTCTGAAACTGTGAGCCAAAATAATTCCTTCCTCCTTTAAGTTGATTTGCTCAGGTATTCTGTCACAGTGACAAAAAGGTAGCTAACAGTTATATTACATAAATTTTAATTGGGGGCTGGAGGTGTGGCTCAAGTGGTAGAGCATCTGCCTAACAAGCCCCAGGCTCTAAGTTCAAACCCCATCACCACCAAAGACAAAAAAATAAATAAATAAAAATTTTAATTGAGTAGCCAGTGGGCTGGACACCTCCAGAACCTGATGTTCCCAAAGCAAACAGTAAAAGGAAATCAGACTTTACCAATCAGAAGCTGCCAACTAACCTGTAACTAAGGAATTCCACTTTAACTAATCAAATGTATTTTCTTTTTAATAATGATAATTAATAATAAATAAATTTAATAAATAAATAATACATTAATAAATAATAATTAATAAAATGTATTTGCCTTGTTTCTGGGAGCAGCTTATAAAAGTTTTCTCTTACTCTACCTAATTCCATCCCCCTGCAGCATTGAATGGCTTGAGGAATGGTCCCCAGCAACTGACAAATTGTCTGCTCAAGTAAGGCTCTTCAAAATTTGAATGTCCTTAAGTTTACTTTTTAATGATCCAATGTTGACAATACAGGATCATATTTTCCCAATCTTCAGATTAATTTTGGACTTCATATTTCTATTTTAGTGTAAGACAAAGTGGCTTGTTAGGTAGCCATGATGCCCATCCATTTCTATTCTTTGTTCTGTGTCAAAAGGAGCCAATGCTTACAGCAATCCACCATTGCACCTCTCTGTTTCCTCCCACCAGCAGAACCTGTTTCACCTTCCTGTAGTTTCCTTGCATGTATGTATTACAACCCCAATTGGTTTATTTTCCTTTTAATTTATTCCTTTGCTGGTCTTTCAAAAGGAACTAGTTCATCAGGAAATCTTAGAGTTGTTGCATTTCTCACGTTTTGTATTTGAGATTGTCTCTGTGTGCAAGTCACCTTTTTTATACCATGAACTACTTACAGAATAATGTTTGAAGATAGCAGGTACCTTTAATACATTGTAGATATAGTTCTATCACTTTACCTTTACATAGATCTGTGGAACATTCTGTTGGCAGACTGGTATTTTCTTCCTTATGAAGCACTTTCTTTTTCTGCCAGATGCTTGAGTAGATATCTTTAATTTTGGATTTCAATAATTTAACAAGAATATTTTCCAATATGATGCATGTAAAATCAAAATTTGCCAGAACATCATCTGTCTTATTTTTCAGATTTGATTTCTGCTTCATTTTTGGAAAATTCTCCTACATATATACCATATATATTTTTCCATATGCTTTCTGTTATGATTTTGAATTCTCTTCAGAAGCAACAAGTGGATTGACTTTGAATGCTTTTTATGTCTTTTAGCTGACTTTTGAAATTAATTTATCTTTTTTTTTTTTGGTGGGCTTGGGGTTTGAAATTGGAGCTTTGTACTTGCAAAGCAGGTAGTTATTTTTGGAGATGGGGGTCTTGCAAACTATTTACCTGAACTGGCCTGAAACCACAGTCCTCCCAACCTTCCCAATCTCAGCTTCCCAAGTAGCTAGGATGACAGGTGTAAGCCACCAGTACCTAGCCAGAACAACTTTATCTTCCATTAGACTTTACCATGAATGTCAAAGTTTTTTCATCCTGATTAATATGATATTGCGCTGTGCCTATATAATACTGTTTACCATTAATTATGCATTAGCTCTGTTTTTGTTTTTGTTTGACATCTTTCTTTTCAGCAACCACACTTTTCAACACCTTATTTTTTACCTATTTGTTATTGAGCCCATTTTATATGTTCTACGCTGCCTAATTTCTGTAAGGAGTTTAAGTTTTTTTCTCTTCTTCCACTGATTCTCTGGCATGCATGTTATATTCTATCTTCTATCCCAATCGCAAAATATAATCTCATGTGCTTCCTCATTATATCCATTTACATGTAGCTTTATCTCTACATTTCTTTCCTGAATTTCTTTTGTCTGGTGAGATGTCCACCTGGGGTTGAGCTTGTAATTGTCAATCTTTTCAGAGGAGGTGAAGGAAGGTGGATTGACAGGAGGTTCCTTTGTTTTGTTTATAGTTCAAGTTGATTTATTTTTCATTGTTGTGTTGGTTGGGGATACATTGTAGCATTTACAAAGGTTCTTACAATGTATCAAATATATCATACTTGAATTCACCCCTCCACTACTCCCTCCCCCAATTCCTAGAACAATTTCCAAAGGTATCATTTTTGCATTTACGTATGTGTATACATTATTTGCACCATATTCATCCTCCTACCTCTTCCCCTGCCACCTTCCCCCTCCTCCCACCGGCATAACCTGTTTCACCTTCCTGTAGTTTCTTTGCATATATGTATTACAACCTCAATTGGTTTATCTCTTCCAGTTGTCATATCTCTTCCTTGATGGCATATTTTTTGTATGTATGAAGTCTCCCTTTCTTTCTGGTAACACCTACATTGAGGACATTATTTTTTTTCTGTCTCAATAGCTCCAACTATATCATCACATAAAGAAGACCAGGTGTTACCACCTGGATGTAGACCAGACTTCATTCTGGTCTTTTGTGTGTTTTCCACATATCTCATTCATAATCAGGGACATGGAAATGATTCAGCCCATCCTTGCTCTTCCCATGGCAACTACACACGTGGTTCTTTGCTTCTGAACCTCCTCCTAGTGACTTCCAGATCCTCCAGACTTAGAGCCCATTGTGTTGCATCATCTCCTGTAATTTATAATTTTTACACATTTCCCTATCTATCTCAGACATTGACTTGCTATGCACTCCACCTCCTCTGTTTGTGATGTTTATGGATTCTTCATAATTATGGTCCACAGAACTACCCTATTGTTTTCAACAAAGCCATGTTATACCTATTTAAACTATCTTTCATATAATTTCTAGTTGGGCCAGGAAGAAGAAACATCTTAAGACTCCAAATTAAAGATGAGGATCAATCTACTTTTAACTCACTAAGACATGTATAATGCACCTTTCTGTGAGTTTTCAATGCACTCCCAACGTGTGTTTACTTAGCCTCTTTAAGTCTTCTCTTAGGTTATGATGAGGCTGAAAGAAGGTTCCATCCCTGAACAGACATGATGCAGACCAGCATGTAAAGCTAACAGTGTTCTCAGTTCACTCTCTCCCTGGTCACCAGTTTCTACATGCTTTCAGCAACTTACTTTGGGTCATATCTTTGTAATACACAATTAAAACAAGTTTAGTCATAGAACATTCAAGTATTATTTGTTTACAACATGTTGCTAATATCTAGGCCCTGACAAAACCTGAAGTCATTCTAATGAGTCACAGTTACTAAATTCCAACTTAACACTTCATCTTTAAAAAAGTATGAAAGAAAGGCAGGGGAGTGAAGAGTGGAGGGATGGAGGGATGAAGATGCACAGAGGATGGGGTTGGGATGAGCACTTGACATCTAATTAGAGAATTTAAGAAGAAATGTAAGGAATGTTGGCATAACCAACACTCAAACAGCCAGTCATGTATAACCCCATCCCATTGGATCAGCATTCTCGTCTCTTCCTTGTATATTTAGTAGAGATACTTGGTAAGGACCCAAAACAGGATTGGGGACAGTTTAAATAATTAAACTCCATGTATTTTCTCTGAGTCTGAAAGTTATAGACTTGGAGTTTGTCTAAATGTTTAAAAGGGGTATGGTGCAGACCCTGATGAGAATAACTACAACAAACCTAAAACATGGAGGAGAAATGTAAAAAACTCACTCTCTGAATCAGTTTTCCCAGAGTGCTAACCATAGTCTCATAGATTACATGTTTTGTTCATTTACTCAGCTCAATATTTGTGCTATTCTGACTTTGGTTGAAATATAAAATTTTATGGGGAGGAGTATACTTTTTTTCTTCTTTTGATGCTAGGATCAGACCCAGGTCCTAATACATATTAAACACATTTTGCTCCAATAAATTACAAACTCATCCCAGTAAACTATTTGTTGACTCAATCAGTCAATGAGTGAATGAATATATACATCTTTGACTGGAGAACTTTATAGAAGTTGAGCTATGGAGGAAATTGAGGAGGCCATGTAACATAGTTACCATGTACTCTACTGCACAATTCTCCTGTTCCTATGAACGACTATTTAGAAACCTATTTTAATGGATAGCAATTAGTGTCACCAAAACTCCCACATCTAAGTGGTTCATCATTTACCCTAGATTTCTACTTCCTAATACTTGAAAAATGAAAAAATAGTAAAAAACTTTCTTCCTGGGTCCCTGAGACTATTTTGTAAACATATGAATGTAAATCAACTTATAAAATAGGAGAAAAATTATTATTACAGCTATGTATAACCATTATTTCTATTTACATATTTAAAATGTGTTTTAACTATAATTAACCTAGTCAAGGAAATTCAAGTGCAAATGTAGTAATGAGTGGTTTTGTTTGGTTTTCTTGCCTTAGGAGACCATGGACATTGAAGCATATTTTGAAAGAATTGGTTATAAGAACTGTGGGAACAAATTGGACTTGGAAACATTAACTGACATTCTTCAGTGCCAGATCCGAGCTATTCCCTTTGAGAACCTGAACATCCATTGTGGAGCATCCATGGATATAGGCTTGGAGGACATATTTGATCAAGTCGTGAAGAGAAGGCGGGGTGGTTGGTGTCTCCAGGTTAATCACCTTCTCTACTGGGCCTTGACCACAATGGGTTTTGAGACCACAATGTTGGGAGGATATGTCTATAGTACTCCAGCCAATAAATATAGCAGTGGTATGATTCACCTTTTAGTACAGGTATCCATCAAAGGCAGGAACTACATTGTGGATGCAGGGTTTGGACGCTCCTACCAGATGTGGGAGCCTCTAGAATTGATTTCTGGGAAGGATCAACCTCAGGTACCTTGCATCTTCCGATTGACAGAAGAGACAGGAACCTGGTACCTGGACCAAATCAGAAGAGAGCAGTACATTCCAAACCAGGAATTTGTTAATTCTGACCTTCTTGAGAAAAACGAATACCGAAAAATCTACTCCTTTACTCTTGAACCTCGAACAATTGAAGATTTTGAGTCTGTGAATATATACCTCCAGACATCTCCAGCATCTGTGTTTACAAACAAATCATTTTGTTCCTTGCAGACCCCAGAAGGGGTTCACTGTTTAGTGGGTTCCACCCTCACGTACAGGAGATTCAGTTACAAGGACAATGTAGATCTGGTAGAGTTTAAGGCTCTGAAAGAGGAAGAAATAGAAGAAGTACTGAAAACTATATTTGGTATTTCTTTGGAGGAAAAACTCGTGCCCAAACATGGTGATCGATTTTTCACTATTTAGAGTTAGCAACAGTAATCGTCTTCAGTGTCACTATATGTCATTACTTTTTATTATAAAACTGTCAAGCATGTACAAAGTATGGGTAATAAAATAAGCCCTTGCCCTTGTGTAATCATTACACAGCTCACCAATGATCAACTGGATATTTCTTATATCCTCTACACTTCCACATTGTAGTGAAGAAAATCCTAGATATCATATCATTTCACCCACAGAAATGTCCTCATATATACTTAAATGACTTTTTAAAGAACATAATCATAAACTTTTTCAAAATTAATCACACAAAAGTGTTTTAATGATGACATGGTTATTTTGGTAACCATACTAAATTGGGATAGAAAACCTTTAATAAATGGTTTATTATTGAATTCACATAGAATTTATACTGGTAGTTATGTAAACAAATAATAAAATTGTTTCCATTAAATTCAACCAACATATATCCAACGTCTAATTTTTATAAACTACTACCTGTATAACTTAGGATTGGAATGCAAAAAAGAAGAGTAAGATATGATATTGATCTTAAATAACCTAACAGTCCTCAAGTCAATACTTAAGCCAACACACAGGAGTATGTGGTAAAGTGCCAAGAGAGTGACAGCTAATAATTTCATCCAAGGTTGTTTTTATAGCCACAGTTCTTTATATGCCATTGTTCTTAATATTGGAACACTGATATTTAAGGCTTCTATCTTCCAAATTTAAAGACTTATGCCTAAAATAATAATTACTGTAAATGATGAAATATCATCTAGAAAAACATTTTCAAAGAGGTTCATTGAAACATTGCTGGCTAATATAAAAAAAGGAAGTTTTTGTTTGGAGGGGTTAGGATGTTGTGGGCTTTTACAGGGAAGTTTTCTTTTCATCTTTAAGTTGCATTCTTTTATTTCTATCCATATTTTGCCATAGGAGAAAAACACACAGGCTTCTTTGCATATGTTTGGTATATGTATAGGTAACTCTGTGGCTATGATTCCTCACAGGTATAATGAGTATTATACATGTCTGGCAGTTCCAAACCCAGGAAAAAACACTAAACAAATGTTTGTTTCATGGATAAATGAATAATGTCATTAAATCAACATTTTTGGTAGTAGGTGATCACTTAATGCAAGTTCTCCTTCCATCTTGTTTTGTTTCCCTCTGTAAGCATTTGTTTTTCTGTCTGGCATTTTCCACTCAGGCTTGAAATCCTGCCCCATTGTCATTTGCTTGCTTTGTCTTGATAAAACATTGATAACAGATCCTGAGGTTTATGAGCATGACCCATGCTTCAGAACTGAAGCTTTATCTTTTCTATAACTCAGATTATCTGTTTACAGATTGCAATATCACTACTATAGTTTTTTTAATTTTATTTATTTATTTTAATTTTTTTATTCATATATGCCTACAATGTTTGAGTCATTTCTCCCCCCTTCCCCTACTCCCACCCTTACCCCCCCTCCCCCACCCCCTTGCTACCCGGCAGAAACTATTCTGCCCTTACCTCTAATTTTGTTTTGTTTTTTTTTTCATTTTTCTTTTATTATTCATATGTGCATACAAGGCTTTGTTCATTTCT